GACATGGTAAAAGGCATTGAGGTCTTAGTCTAATTTTTGTTTCTGTTCACCTGTGCCGCCTCATACGAGTCAACTCACCCCCGCCGAGGCTGGACCCCGGCACTTTGACTCTACCTTTGAAAGGACAATGGTAAGAAAAGCTGTTAGTGGGAGGTTTTCAGAATCATGATCTAACACACGTTGTGCCCTGAACAAATCCCACCCACAGGCACACATACCCCCACCTCCCTCAACCTCACCTCCCCCAGACCTTCACCTCCTATGACACAAGGCTCAGCAGGGAAGAGTTCTGGGATTTCATCATGAGAACGACCCGGGGACGGGGTGGGGCGGGGAGGGCGGGCAGGTGCAGTCTCACATCATCTCCAGGTGGCACTCTGTGGTCTGACCATGTGCGAACCAAGGACGCCTTCCTGACCCTTCCACACACACAGGGCAGCATGACAGGCAGTGGCTGCAGGCATGCCAGTGCCTCACGGAGACGGGAAGGCACACCACAGTATGGGCCTGCCCATTCCAGAATCCAGCTAAACATGGAGCCCTGTGAGGGTCCAGTCCTGTGGCTTGGAAATACTTGCCAACTTTCAGCTTTCCTTTCTTTCATCTTTTAAATAAGTGTCTAATTAATTTATGTTCTTCATGAGGAAAACAATGAGAAAGAGACCAACAGACAGACACCCCCTCTCTCTGTATCCCTCTTCCAAATGTCCTGATGCCACAATGCCCCCTGAGCCTGACAGCCAGGCAGAGCCCTGGGGCACTGTGGGCATTCCCAGTGTCCGGGGAGACCCTGGGTGTGAGGCTGACCCTTCTCACGTGGCCTTCAGCCGTGCACACCAACACCCTGCTCGTCTTCATCCTCTGCGCCCGTGAACCTCTGCTCCCAACATTCCTTCCTTTTGAATAAAACAAAGAAGAGGCTATGCCTGAGCAGACTCCCCACTCAATTACCCCAGCACTGCATGGCCTCAAAGCCAGCATCCCTGTGTCTCTTTTCTGTGTCTCTGCATCACTGTGTCTGTTCTGTGTCTCCATTCTGTGTTTCTGCACTCACTGTGTCTCTGTTCTGTGTCTCTGCATCACTGTGTCTCTGTCCTGTGTCTCCGCACTCACTGTGCCTCTGGTCTGTGTCTCTGTTCTGTTTCTGCACTCACTGTGTCTCTGTTTATGATGTATCTCTGTTCTGTGTCTCTGCATCACTGTGTCTCTGTTCTGTGTCTCTGAATCACTGTGTCTCTGTTCTGTGTCTCTGCACTCACTGTATCTCTGTTTCTTTTTTTCACTTTTTTATTTTAATTTTTTATATAAATTCAATCATATTATTTAGCTTACAAAGTGAACATTTCAGTATGTGTGTGAACGTTTCTCCCCAGTCCAGTTGATCAGAGTATCTTCCACCAATAACACCACATCCTCCCATCCCATCAATGCTCTCTCTCTGTATCTCTCTTCCAAACGTCCTTCCTTAGGTCCCTCTTCTC